TTTTTTACTGGTTAATTGGAGACCTGTTGAACCATAATCCTCAGATGTCAGCTTCTTGAGTATAGGCATGAACCACTGACCAGTACCTGGCTAAGATTGTATTGACCAGCATTGTTTTCACTGGATGTTGCACAATTACCAGTCAGTGGTTTTGAACAGAAAATCATTCTCTCAGTAGTTCAAGAGACCAGAAACCTAAAATCAGTATTAGGTCCAAATAACAGCAATTACAGGGCTGAACTCCCCTGGAGGACCCAGGGGAGAATCATTTATTTCATTTTTGATTGCTTCTTGCTGGCATTTCTGGGCTTGGGAGCCACAATGTTAATCTGTGTTTGCCCTACCTTCTGTGTAAAAGCTTCCTCTGCTTAACTCTTATAAAGGTGCATGTGACTGCCGGGCACTGGTGGCTCACGCCTGTAATCCTAGCTACTCAGGAGGCTGAGATCTGAGGATGGTGGTTCAAAGCCAGCCCGGGCAGGAGAGACCGTGAGACTCCTATCTCCAATAAACCACCAGAAAACCGGAAGTGGCGCTGTAGCTCAAGTGGTAGAGCGCTCGCCTTGAGCTGAAGAGCTGAGGGACAGCGCCCAGGCCCAGAGTTCAAGTCCCTCGACCGACCAAAACAAAACAAAACAAAACAAAAAAAAAACAAAATAAAAACAGGTGCATGTGACTGCATTTAGGATCTGCAAGAATAATCCAAGGACCTCCCAACTCAACATCCTTAATTTTTTTTTGCCAGTCATGGTGCCTGAACTCTGGGCCTGGGCGCTGTCCCTCAGCTCTTCAGCTCAAGGCTAGTGCTCTACCACTTGAGCCACAGCACCACTTCCAGCCTTTTTCTTTTTGCTTATGTGGTGCTGAGGAATCGAACCCAGGGCCTCATACATGCAAGGCAAGCACTCTACCACTGAGCCACCTTCCCAGCCCCAACATCCTTAATTTTATCTTTTGTTGTATAAAGAAACCCCCACAGGTTTCAGGGATTAGGGAAAAGGGGAGGATCATTCGTACACATACAAAGGTTATGTGTAAAATCTGATTTGTAGACTATATTCCCTGCTGCTCCCTCAGCATGCTTATATTGCCTGACTCCCAGATGTTCCCAGCTGTATTCAACATAAACCTGAAAATGGCAACTTTTCTCTATTACTGTCATTGTCCCTAGTGATCCCTGAGAGCCTGTCCTCAATTGTGGAATTACCTTAATGTGTACTACATCTTCAAGCACGTCTTAAGCTTTCCTTTAAAAAATGCCTTCATTTGCCATCCTCTGACTTTCCAGGCCTTTATTTTGCTAGGTCTTCCAAAGAAAATTCTTGTCAAATAACATTTGATCATACACTTGTGTGCTCAAGCATCTAGTGGCTCCTTATCAGCTTTCATTACCTATAAGCAGCATACTAAGGCTTTTTAGAGATCTTAAGCATCACAAATACTGTATCCCACATGAAATGTCCAACATCTCTAGCCATAAACGAAATGCCAATAAGGACAATATTGAGATTCCGCCTCACCCGTTAGAATGGCCCTTATCAAGAAAACTCAATAATAGATGCTGGTGGTGATGTGGAGAAAAGGGACCACCACTACACTGTTGATGGAAATGTAGTTGTTCAACCACTCTGAAAAACAGTATGAAGGTTCCTCAAAAGACTAAACATAGAGCTTCCCTATGACCCAGCAATTCCACTCCTGGGCATTTATCCAACTGACCACAAACCAGGCCACACTAAGGCTACCAGGCACAACCATGTTCACTGCAGCATTGTTCACCATAGCCAAGATCAACCCAGATGACCCTCAATGGATGAATGCGTTAAGAAAATGTGGTATAGGGCTGGGAAGGTGGCTCAGTGGTAGAGCGCTTGCCTTGCATGCCTGAGGCCCTGGGTTTGATTCCTTAGCACCACATAAGCAAAAAGAAAAGAAGCCGGAAGTGATGCTGTGACTCAGGTGGTAGAGCACTAGCTTTGAGCTGAGGGATAGTGCCCAGGCCCAGAGTTCAGGCCCCACGACCGGACCCCCCCCCCAAAAAAAAAGAAAATATGGTATATATACACAATAGAATTTTACACTTCCATCAGAAAAAATGATATCGCCCTATCCATAAGGAAATGGTTAATACTTGGAAAAAAATTATATTAAGCAAAATAAGCCAGACGCAAAGGAACAGAGAGGTTGCTTGTTTTCCCTCATTTGTAGTAATTAGAATGTGTATACAAATCTACAATGGAGGGCGAGACAAAAACTACACTTAGACACAATAAATTAAACAGGACTCCAAACATTTATACTGTGAGACCAAAGGAGGATATTCTCAGGAGAGGATCACAAAGGCTTAATGTGCGTATGATCAAATAAAATGATGTTTATCAAAATGAATTCCAAGAAGTGAAAAAGGGTTTTTGTTATTTTACCTTTTTTCCCTCTGTCACTGCTTTTGATTTATTGTAAGTTTATCTGCTTAGTGATACTCTTAGACTGTTGAAAATGAAATATACAACTTGTGAGGGAAGGGGGTCAGGAGAGAGAAAACTGGGGAGAAAATGAGGAAAGAGGGTGACACTGTTCAAAAAGAAATGTACTCATTACTTGACTTACATAATGGTAGCCCCTCTGTACATCACCATCACCTTTACAATAAAAATTAAAATAAAAACCTGTCTCCTGTATGAGGATATAGCTCAAGTGTTTTAGAGGGTTTGCTTAGCATGTGCAAAGCACATGGATGTTTATGTCTGTCCTTGTGCCTGTATCACACTACTTTCATTAGTGTAGCTTTGTGGCTAAGTCTCCAAATGAGGACATGGCCATTCTGAGTTTATCTCTGCTTTCTGGCTGCCATAAGGCAAGCAGCTTCTTCTCCTTCCTCCTGTTTCTGCCTTGTTATAAGTCCTAAGTGTGGAGTCAGCCATGGTCTGAAACCTCTAAAAATCTTATTTTCATTTTGTCATAACAAGAGAAAGCATTAAAAATGGAATGGTGTGTTTAACTTACTTTTCAAATTGCTCACTGCTAATGCATAAAAATATCACTTTTTAAGTGCTTGACTTTTTAATCCTACAGCAATTTAACAAATTCTGCAGCTGGATAAAAAGTCAAACATATATAAAATGTGATATTCTTCTGAAAAATGGCTCTGGTAGGTTGTGTGTGCATGTGTGTATTTTTTCCTCATTGGCGCTGGGGCTTGAACTCTGGGTCTGGGCAGTGTCCCTGAACTTTTATGTTCAAGGCTGGCTCTCTACCACTTGTACCATAGCTCCACTTCTGTTTTTTTTGTGGTTTATTGGAAGTAAGAGTCTCATGGCCTTTCATGCCTGGGTTGGCTTTTAACTGTGATCCTCAGATCATAGCCTCTTGAATAGTTAAGACTTACAGGCGTAAGCCACTATGTGTACACATTTTTTTTGGGGGGGGGGGGGGGGGTCCGGTCATGGGGCCTGAACTCTGGGCCTGGGTGCTGTCCCTCAGCTCTTCAGCTCAAGGCGAGCGCTCTACCACTTGAGCCACAGCGCCACTTCCGGCACTTTTTCTTTTTGCTTATGTGGTGCTGAGTAATCGAACCCAGGGCCTCAGGCATGCAAGGCAAGCGCTCTATCACTGAGCCACCTTCCCAGCTCCTGTGTACACATTTTTAATGATCTTCATGAGATCATGTAATTTGTGATGAAAAATATTTTTTACTTTTTCCCCAATTTAGATGACTCTTAGCTAAAAATGAGAAAAAAAATCTTCTAACTCTGTAATTTTAACATGTTTTACAGACTCTACACAGACATGTATAGATGTATCACTTTCAGAGTTTATGGAGTATGTTACAGAAAGGGTAAGAAGCACTTTAGTCTCTGTAGTTAAAGAACATGTACCATCCCCAGTACCAAAAAAGAAAAGACAAAAAAAAAAAAAAAAAGAACATGTACCATTGAAAACATTCCAGTGTTAACAACAATTTATTTTGAGGCAGGTTTTACTATGTTACCCAGTCTGATCTCAAATTACAGGATTTAATGGATCTTCTTGTTTCAGCTTCCTGAATAGCTGGGACTATATATAGGATGTACCACCATACCTGGCTGGTCAATAGCAATGGAAATTATGCATATATTATATGTATGAACAGCGGTTGTACTTGTTCTTTACTATAATCTTCAATACATTTTCAAAAACTGAAGAAATAAATTTGAGTCTTCATGTCTAAATTTTATTATACAAGCTATACATACAAAATGAAATTCTTATCAAAGATTCATCTGAATCTGAAAAATAACTTAAACCAATAAGTGAGTATGTATGTTTACCTCCAGCAACATACACATACTTCAATGTTTGCAGTGACTGGCATTGCTTCTGGATTATGCAAGGCAGCATTTGCTAAATAAGGGATCCAAAGTTCTAGATTTTAAGTATCTAGATAAAAACAAAATTCAAATTATAGTAAAATCCAAAATCTTGGGTGAGGGTGTAGCTCAATGGTAGAGGTCATGTGTAGCATACATGAGATCTTAAAAGTCCAGTCCCTAGTGCCTCTCCCACCCCTAATCCCTCAGCTTCTCCTTTAATGTTCCCTATTCTCCTCAAAGATTCCAACAGAAGTTATTTTAAAAACTAACTCTAGAATTCTCCCCCCACCTCCTAACAAGATGTATGGAAGTGAATGATTTAAGCTTTAAAAAGGTAATGTATTTTTGGCATCCGTAATACAAAATTCACATATTCATATCTGTGTACAAAAATACAGACTATAAAATTTAGTCTTCAAAATTTAAAAATTTTGGCTACTAAAACAAGGTAGTTATTAATATTTGTTGTAAATATAATTATAAAAGGCAGACATTTAAAGTCTTTTTTTTCTTTGCTGGTACTAGGGCTTGAAATCAAGGCCTGGGCACTGTCCCTGAGCTTCTTTTTGTTCAAGGCTAGTGCTCTACCACTTGAGCCATAGTGCCACTTCTCACTTTTTCTGACTTTATTGGAAATAAAGTCTCATGGACTTTCCTGCACGGGCTGGCTTCGAACCAGATCCTTAGATCTCAGCCTCCTGAGTAGATAGGATTACAGTAGTGAGCTAGCTGTGCCTGGCTCAAAGTATTTATTAACCCCAATTACAATGACAAAAAATGTTTATCTAAAAATATTCCAATATTCAAATAAAGAACTATGGAGCAACAGCCCTTTTACTAGTCATAACTTGAATTCTGGTTTGTAAGTGAACAGGGACCAGAAGTGAAAGGTAGGTTGGATAACGTAGAAGACAAAGAGAATAGCAGAGATATAATAACATTTGTTGTGTTCTCTTTCTTTTTTTGAGGTCCTGGCTCAAACCCAGGACTATACACATGCTAGGTAACTACTCTACTGTAAGCTACACCCTCAGGCCAAACCTATGTTTAGGAAGGGTAAAATCAAAAGTGCTTAATACAAAAAAATTTTCATGTTGCTAATTATCCTTAAGTGCCACAAAACATTTGTTATCCAAATAGCTTTACTGGAGCTGTTCAAACTTCAACTATTACTATTATTACAATTCAAACAAATTTCCAATATTTGTCAGTTATCTTACACATGTACATAAATATCAGGAGAGTTTAAATACTTTTGTTTTACTATTTTAATTTTTGCTGGAAGATGCAGGATTTTATCTTGCATTAGTTACGTAGACTTATCAGAAGTAAATTAAATATGAACTTAATAGAAAAAGTACTTGCTAGTTACAATGACATCATGATCTGGAACAACTGAAGCCTTTTATCTCTTGCTCCATTTTCTATGTAAAGGGTAGGAAAAAAATAGTAAGTTTCAATATGAAAAAAGCAAAAACAAACAAAACAATTTAATTGCTATTAAAAAAATTAACCCTCCTAAGGATATCAAGGCTAGGTAAACTAATCAAATTCACTGGTTTCTTATATATTAATATTTTATACTTTACAACCAACAGTTTTACACTCATACATTACATACTGTATTTATCATGTTCTAGTAGGCATATGGCAAACACAATTTTATGCTTTACAGGCATTGGTAAGATGCACATGTAATACAGCTAATGAATATTTTTAAAAATTAATACTCTAGTACCACCTGTAAGTATTTAAAACAAGTAAGTCCCTCCACGATCCCAAAAACTCCATCCCCAAACTTTTAGAAATCATAAATCACTTCGGCAAA